TTAGCTCCCACCATTAGGCTTACTACTGATGATCCTTTGCTATCATTTAGATATGCCAAAGTAAAGCCTAAAGATCACTTCTTCAATGACTGTTTTCAGTTTTTCTATCATCAATGTAAAATCAGGACTCAATCCCAATTTCTTTCTTTTTCCAAATGTTGGCTAGCTCCCTCTTGGTTGTTTCCTCCTACTATCGAGTCCTCGGCAGAACAGATTGAACTTTATAAAACTTCTTGGGGCCATTTCTTAATTGCAAGGGATATTCCCTGTAATACTGTTGCTCCCTATCTTGCCAAGAGCCGAACTGGGGTAGAATTTTACAACCCTGCTGTAGGTGCAAAATTTCGCCTAACCAATAATGATTAAGAGAAATAAAACAATTCACTCAACAAATAATAAAAATAAACAAGAACAATATATAGAGAAGCGTAAAATTGCTTGTGTATCTTTATTGGATGTCTGTGCCTCTATTTATACACAAAAGATTGGTTAAATTATGATAGGACTCGCATTGCTTGCCTTCCAATTCTTTCCCTACAGAAATTCTTTACAAATAGAGCTCCTTCCTTTGTATAATTTTCCTTGCGTAGTAGTTTCTTTCTTTGCTGTATCCTTCTTCTAATAGGACTAATTTCCTTTCAATGGATTTGGGCCATAAGTAACCTGATCCATGTGATATTGCTAACGGGCTGGATCTCTTGTTTCGGACTTGAGCAATGCTACATAGATCAATTAGCTGTGACCTTGGGCTAGTGTCTTATGATTTTAGGCTGTCAACGAGCTTGGACTGGGTTTTGAGCAGGATGGGCCTCTGACATTTGTGATGGGTATTTATATTGCGATGACGTGTACAGTTCTCATTGGAGGGAGATTTTTCCCTCCACACCTGCTCAACTAGCAAGGCAATTTGGGTTAACCCAAATAATTTCATTGCCGCCCCACTCTATAACAAGAATTACCATCGGCGGGTCAAGCTTTCAAATAGTGAAAAAATTCAGGATGTAACCAATCGATTTACTCAGCGCCTTCAGGAATTTCAATATAAACCTTTTTCTTAAAGAACCGTATACTGATCCAAGCTTTGAGGACTAGTGGGCAGCATATATCAATTTTACCAGGACTGAAGATTCCAACCAACTTGTATGCAATCTTCTTGGGTCCTACAAATTCATCTCCCTCAACTTTCAAGGTGTGGACTCCATTCAACCCATTCAGCTTACCTCTGCTCCAGAACCAGAAAATGTGACAGATAAAATAACAACTCATCCTCCTTCCACAGCTCCTGTAGGTAGGACCAGATCTCACTCTCGGCAGAGTAAGTTTTATGCCTTTGTTCTTCTCATATAAACTTATATTTTGTTTAGATTCTTACTAACATAACTTTAGGCGCACACTCCACAGTACCAGAGAAATCAATACCTGCCAAGTCTGAAGAAGCCCAATTTGATCCTTATGTCCCTATTCAAAGTATACCCCCAATATCGACTACCCCAGTAAGTTAGCAAAACTTCTTTTTTATTTTACTGAATTGATGTTCAAACTCTAACAATCCTAACTCAGGAATCGAAGAAAAGAAAAAATATGAAAACTGTGGGGAGAAAACCTGTGAAGAAACAAAAAGCGAAGAGGGACTTTGTGTTGATTGATGATGATGATGGAGAAGAAATAGTGATAAAAAAAGTCCAGGCCTCCACTGATACTCCCAAGGTATAACTGTTCATCAACTGAACTTGGAAATCTCCCTTTAGATTAAAATTAAGGCAAAGCCGATTTTGTTATGCAGGAACGTACACCTCAATCCAAACAACAAATAAGCTCAAACAGTGGTGCCACAGAAAAATTTGAATTGTCTCAAGATCAAGAATAATTCTCTCCTAAAAGAACCATTTCACCTGCCTCATCTTAGCACCTAGTAGCAGCATCCCTTAAGGCTGAACAAATTGGAGATTATGATGAAGTAAGTTGTACAATTCTCGCTACACAATTCCTATTACTTTGAACTATAGAATACTAATTTGGAGGATCTCAGGTACTGAAGAATTTTGTTCCCCCTGCTACTCCTGCCAGTGCCAATCCAAGTTCCCCTTTCACTACCTTGGACTCTCTCTTCGACTCTGTGTTTGACTCACTAGACCTTGAACCAGTTGTGACTCCATCCGAGAATGTTACTGAAATTCCTGTAGAAGTGTTACAGGCTGTGAAATTACTATCTCAAATGTTTGAACAAGATGTTTTTCTAATTTCTGCTTTCAAAGATGACTTAGCTCAGACTTTGTCCTTCTTAAGTAGCTATCCTGGGTTTACTTTAAGTGACCAAACTTTCTTCAAAGTTTTCCAACACTAGGTTCTTTCTATGACCCGTTCTTTAACCGAATCCACCAAAGCCATTAGCCATTGTTCTTCCCAATTATAGGAAAGAGAAAAGCTTGCCCGAAACTTGAAGATGGGAAAAGAGCTACATAACTCTTTGAAGAAAGAAGCAGCCGAGCTAGATACCAAAGAGAGAAAGCTTCAGAAGATCCAACTCATCAAGAAGGTAACAAAATTAAAAGTACAGACAAAGATTACTGCTCCTCAATTCAAAGCACTGCAAGCTCAGATGCCGAAGTTGGAGTAATCTAAAAAGCAGGCAAAAATCAAACTCAACCAAACCATGGCTTCGTGGGCTGATCTCAAGGCTAAATTCAAAGATTTTTATAAGAACTTTAACCAACTTTGAACAATTATGGATTTCTTTCTAGTATGGGTCTGTAACATGGTATTTTTGAACTGTTTGTGATAATAATGGTTGAATATGCTAAAAATCTTTATTATTGCTTAAAACTGAACTACCATATCGTTTCATAATTTGTAAAAAAATAACAACTGAGAGGGAATATAACCCAAATTAATTTGACTTAATGGAGATTTTCTTTTCTTCCATAAGTTCAAAAATAGTTGGTTTATATTTTGTAAGGTACCTTCTATTTATTGGCCTTTCATACACCTCACCATCCAAATCCTTCAATTTATAAGTACCTCCATGCATAATTGTTAAAGGCACCGAAGGCGTAAGGCGCCTCCAGGCGCAGTCTTGGCGCCTTGATTGACTCAAGGCGACTGCCTTGTGATAGGCGAGCGCCTCTAAGGAATAGGCTAAAGGCGATCTCAAGGCGTGCCTGAGTGAATATATATATATTTTGTACTTTTTTTGTTATTATTTTGATTGTGTATGACTGTATGGGTTTATTTGTTTAGTTTTTATTTTTTAATTACAAAACCTATACATACAGCTATACAAGACTACAAAAGTCAAAAGAAAAAGAAAAGAAAAAAGGAAAACCAAAGCAAAAGGACAGAGAACAGAGAAGTACGAGCCCGGATCTGCGAAGCTTGGAGTCTTGGATCTGTCGGAATCCAGATCTACGAAGCCGGTAAGTTCTCCTTCCCTCTCTTCTACTTCTCTCCTTCTTACTTCTCGGATCATCATCTCTCAGTCTTCTTCTTTTTTTCTTTTTTTCTTCCGGAGACTGTCCTCTCTCAGATTTTTTTTTTTTCTTCTTTTCTTCTTTTCTTCTTCTTCTTTTCTTCTTCTCTCGGCAGTCAGCTCTCTCGGCTCTTAAGTCTTGCTCTTCTTTTAATTTTTTTTTATTTAATTTTTTTTTCTCTATTTTTTATTTTATTTTATTTTTTTATTCTTCTTCTTCTTCTTCTCTCGCGTCTCGGCTCTTCTTGGCTTTTTTTTTTTTTTTTTCTCTCGTCTCAGCTCTTCTTTTATTTTTTTTTCAATAGCATATCATTGGTGTAGTCTTGTAGATCATTGTCTTCTAAATTTTTTTTTTCAATAGCATATCTTATTGGAACTGGAAGATGAAATTCCATTAATTTATGTCATTCATTGACAACCGGTATCTCGCCATTTTCCTTCTTTATTTCACGAACTAGTATTCATTTTTTGAATTTTGATTCTTAAAAATTTCTTACCATATTATCGCCTGCCCCTCGGACTAAATTCAAGACTCTGCCACTGCATTCAAGAAAGACCCGTAAAAACTACTACTACTACTATTATTATTATTTTCATTTTCTAAATCATAATTGGAACTTATGATTGCATAAAAGGATATTCAAGACATTAAACCATTGAGGATAACTATTTTGTAAATTTGATTACTATATATATATATTTAGGAAAAAATATATAAATATAAGTGTTTTTTAGGTAAATAAAATTTTAAAAAAATATATATATATATATATATATTAAATATAACTAGGTAATTTTTTGTGATCAAAGAAACCAAACCAAAATTCCATTTTTTTCAATAGCATATCATTGTTGTAGTCTTGTAGATTCCTTGCCGGTTTGCAGTTGATTGTCTAGACTCTGGTCTGCAAAATAATATATAAATAATATTCGAAACCAAGCTTTGATCTCAACATATCTTTCATGAAAAATGATAAATATATATATATATAAGCTTGGTTTTGACATGATTCATGAAAAATGATAACTATATATATATAAGTTGAGATCGAAATAATATATAAATAATATTCTGCTCTTTGCATCAACACTGCTTTTTTTATTTTTGCATGAAATAATATTATGCTTTTTGCATTTTGTCAAAGCTCTTTATTATTATTATTTTTTTAAATTGAAATGTTAATATTGCTTTAAAGTTCTGTATTATTTTTTTTGTCAGAGTTGTTGCAGACACTGATTACATGATGCTATTATTTTGTCATCTTGAATTTGATTGTAGTTTGTATTTTAAAAGATGCCTAGTGATGGTTCAAGAAAGGATCCGGCATAGAATTACTCACATTTGGAGAATCCGAAAGATACAATTGCCGTCACTTGTAACTTTTGTGCAAAAGTTACAAAAGGAGGTATTTATCGGGCTAAGCAACACTTAGCTGGAGGGTATAGAAATGTGAGTGCATGCACAAGATGTCCATCTAGTGTTAGAGAAGAAATCAAAGAGTACATGAGTAAGAAAAAGGAATAAAAAGAGCAAATGAATTTGTTACCTAGTGATGAAATTAATTTCATTGATGGAGAGGATGAGGATGACGTTATGGAAGTTAACAATCGGGGAAAAAGGGTGGCTAGTGCAGGTAGTGGCAGTGCTAGTGTCAATTCCTCAAAGATGTAAAAGCAAAAGGGACCGATTGATTTATATTTCACTCCCAGACCGGAAATTGTGGTACAAAAAAGAAATGAGGGGGGGAAACAGACAACCATTAATGATGCATGCAAGAAAGAGTTGAGAGGAAGAGCGTGTGCTGCTTTTGTAAGGTGGATGTATGATGCAAGAATTGCATTCAATGCTGTTAAGTATGACAGCTTTGCCGAGGTTGTTAAAGCAATTGGATAATATGGTCCTGGCATGAAACCACCTAGTTATCATGAGGTGAGAGTTCTTTTGCTTAGGAAGGAATTGGATAATACCAATGCTTTGATGAATGACCATATAGAGGAGTGGTCAAAATTTGGATGCTTATTAATGACAGATGGGTGGACAGACAAGAGAGGGAGAACATTGCTTAATTTCCTAGTAAATAGTCCAAGGGGAACCAAGTTTATTGAATCGATAGATACTTCTTCTTTTTCAAAGGATGGTGCAAAGATGTTTGACTTACTTAATAAATTTGTAAACCGCATTGGAGTAGCAAATGTTGTCTAAGTCGTCACAAATAGTGAATCAAGCAATAAGTATGTCGGTTAGAATGTTCATTGTTTATAACTTTTAGAGTTTACATTCTTTACAAATATATAATTTAAATCTTTTTTTATTTACTCATTCTCTTTATATCATTTTTTCTTTTTTCCGTTTGGTTTCAAATAGGGAGGATGTTAGAGAAAGAACACCCACATTTGTATTGGACACCATGTGCTGCTCATTGCTTAGACTTGATGTTGGAAGACATTGGTAAAATACCGTCCATCTCTAGAACAATGCAGAGGGCAGTGGAGTTGAATAGTTATATTTATATGCGTCCAAAGTTGTTGAACATTATGAGGAACTTTACTCATAAAAAGGAGTTGCTTAGGGTCGCTAAGACTCGATTTGCTACATGTTTCATCACATTATCAAGTATTCATAAGCAAAAGAATAACTTGAGAAAGATGTTTACTTCAGAAGAATGGAATCGTAGTAAATGGGCGAAAGAGGAAGCCGGTAAAAGAGTTGCTTCTTATGTTTTGATGCCTTCCTTTTGGAACAACATTATTTTTAGCCTTAAGGTTTCCGGTCCTCTTATTCCAGTTTTGAGATTAGTTGATAGCGAGAAAAAGCCTCCCATGGGATACATTTATGCGGCTATGGATAGGGCTAAAGAAGCCATTGCAAAATCATTTGGGGAAGTAGAAGACAAATACAAGGATATTTTTGAAATAATTGATAAGAGGTGTAATGTTTAACTTCATCGCCCTTTGCATGCAGTAGGTTATTATTTGAACCCAGAATACTTTTATTCAAATCCGAAAATTGAAGAAGATGAAGAGATTACAAAGGGTTTGTATGCATGCATTGCAAGGTTAGTCCCAGATGTCAAAGACCAAGACAAAATTACTGAGAAGCTGTCCTTATATTCTAAAGTTGAGGGTCTCTTTGGTAATCCCTTTGCTATTAGACAGAGAAGTACATGAGGACCAGGTAAAGTGGTAAAGTATATTAAGTTAGTATAGCTAAGTGTTAAAATTATTTTGACAATAGAGTCGATAGAAAGATGAAGCTAAAGTTGCTAAACATCATTAGTAATTTTTTTTAATAGCTAATTGGTGGGAAGCTTATGGGAAGTCAACAAAACTTCTCCAAAAGTTTGCTATAAAGGTTTTAAGCCTTACTTGCAGTTCTTCTGGTTGTGAACGAAATTGGAGCGTGTTCGAGCATGTAAGTATATACTATCTACTAACTAGGTTTAGAATTTAATTGTTGAAAGTTAAAATTTTAATTTTTTATACTTACTAGTTAAAGTTGAATTTATTGTAGCTTCATAACAAGAAAAGAAATAGGCTCGCTCAAACAACTTTGAATGATTTAGTGTTCATCAAATACAATAGAGCATTGAGGCGTCGATATAATATGCGTGACACTCTTGATCTCATTTTACTCGATGACATTGATGAAAGCAACGAGTGGTTGACGGGGGGGTTGGATGATTCTGATGCAGAACATGATCTAGTCTATGAAGATAATTCCTTGACATAAGGTGATGTTGCTAATTTTGCTGGTATTGGAGAGGCTAGCAGGCCGCAACGGTCTACTAGATCAAAATCTAGTTCTAGTTCACGGTTACCAACAAAGGGAGCAGGAAGTTCTTCAGTTCGACTTGTGGATGAGGATGAGGATGATTCAGATGAGATAGAAGAGGATCCTAAGAATTATGAATCATTTAGTGACGATCAAAATGATGTTATGCTTATTGATGACGAGGGTGATATTTAGATTCATTGGTGTTGTCTTTTTAGGAAGAAATGATGTTTATGTTTGTTTTAGTTTTATCTTATACTTCTCCTTAGTTGACTTTTGCATCTTTATATTAATATGTTTGATTATTCACTGTTTTGAACTTAAGTATTTGATTTACTTGGTTTTGGCATCTTTATGTTAAATATTTAACTTAAGTAATTCATTTAGTTGACTTTTAAATCTTTATATATACTATTGCATCTTTAATACTTTATTGGGTGGGTTTTTTTTTTTTTTTTCCAACGTGCGCCTTGCTTCAGTCGGGCTCGCGCCTCGCCTTGCGCCTCAAGCTCTAGGAGGCATTTGCGCTTTTGTGCGCCTTGAGCCTTTAACAACTATGCCTCAATGTAACACTTGGTGGACTATATTTAGTCCCTTCCAAGTAGGTGACCATTTGCCATAAGTTCTATCTATCTTTCTAGGTGGAAGAATTGTTTGCCAAATCATATCACCCTCTGCAAATGATTTGAATTTCACCCTTTTGTTGTAGGCTTCATTACCTTTGCTTTATGGACCATAATGTGGTCTAAAACAAGTTTCTAAACTTCATTTAAGTCATCTAACTCGGCAAGCACAACTTTATTATAATCGGCAGGTATCAGATTGTGTTGTGATGAGCGATAAAAAGTGCGTATTTAAACCCCTTAAGCTTAAGCATTCTAATATCTTTATCTATCTTACTTTACCGTTTTAGATTGATTTCGAATTATTTCCATTTTTGGGCACTTATCCCGAAAATAAGCTAACTCAGCCAAATAAGAGCTTAATTAAAGCAATTCTGGGATTAAACAAAGAAAGGAGCAAAGTGGAGAAAGAAGAAAGCAAATAAAGCCAAAGGTGGGAAGCAGCAAAGTTCGATCGATGTAATTTCAATGTTCAATCGATCGAACAATGATTGATCTCAGCACTTCAAGATAGATCCAAGACTTGGACCAAAAGTAAAAAGTCCAAAGTTCGATCGATCCAACACCACCCTTCGATCGATCGAACACTTTTGTCCTTATTCAAATGATTGATCATATAAACAGCTGTACCACCCACTAACCACTTTTGTCTTTTTCCCAAAAATACTCCCAAAATATCTCGAATTTGTCTTTTCCCAAAAAGCTCAACCAGTTGGATCGATCCAGCCTAAGTTCGATGGATCTCATCCAGTTTGATTGATCCAAGTCCAAAGTTCGATTGATCGAACTTCCTCCAGTACGAAAAAGTTAAATTTTCATCTCATTGAAAGTTGTCCTTTATCCAATCGTTAGGGAATATTGTGTACACGACCCCAGCTCATTTTGGGTGTCATTTGACCTACCTATATAAGGATAAGGATTGTTTCTTACAAAAGGGGCTAATATCATTTTCATATCATTTCTTGGAGAGCAAGCTTAGAGGAGGAGGAGGCTAGAGACACCATTGGAGACTCTTCATCAACCAAGGAGCAAATCTCTTCCATGGAGTTAGCCCTTGAGGGTTGGAGCAGCATCATCATGAGTGGCTAGACATCCTCTTGGGGCAAGAGTTAGCCCCAATCATGCTTTCTATATCTTAATCTTGTGTATTATTGAGGGATTAGTGTTGTGATTAATGTTTTGACACTTGAATATATATAGATCTTGTTTATTCAATGATTTATGTGGTTTAATGCTTTCAATTGATCATTTTATTCTATCCATATGTCTATGTATGCTAGAGTAGATGTTCATATGTTTGCCTCTATTTCTTGTGCTATTGATGCATGTCTATATGTATTAATGCTATAGATTTGGAGATTGTCAAAACATTGTGCTTAAAAGAATACTCTTGTGATTTTCTAGATGGTCCATGCTCATTTCTTGATGGATTATGCATCTCCCTTAGCTTAATTAGTTTAATTTCATGTCATTAGCTTAATTGTAGTGTAGTGGTAGCATAGTTGTTAGATGAGAGGACAATCCATACTAGTTGTTTGATGTTCCATACTTTTGAATGCAAGAAGCATATGTCTCTAACCTTGTGGTGTATTTGGCTTGTGAACTTAATGAAATAATTAATGACTTGCTAGATATGTTGTGCTTTTCACATGCTATTTAGACAATATATACTTAATTGCTAGATATATTGTGCTTTTCACATGTTAATTAGACAATGTATGCTTAATTGGTCACCCTTGCTTATTGAATCAACCAAACACACACACACACCAATATTGCAACACACATTACCCTCATTAGTCACTAGTTAGAAGTGTAGAAAAGCATTACTTGGTGGTGACCTCTAAACCCCAAGACCTCTCTCTCTTACTTACTCTTTATTGCATTCAATTATTTAGTTTAATTTGCTTTCTAGTTTAATCAACCAACCAACCATTTGTTTGATCACTCGACCTACTGACCCTAATTGCGATTCCACAACCAAGTACGACTCCAATCCCTTGGGACGATCCCTACTCACCCTTGCTATATTTTTAGTGAAGGTAGTAGTGACTTTTATAAATCTAAAACTCTTGGTCCTCACCTTAAAATCCACACTCTCAAGCTTGACGGTAGTGCGGTGATACACCGGTCATGTTGCAGAGCTACCCTTGCCGATTTTACATTTAACTCCATCGGCAACACAACATCATGGCCAAATACTAACCGATAAGGAGTAGTTCCTGTACTTGTCCTTTTTGAATTTCTATAAGCCCACAAGGCTTCTGAAAGGGTTTCATGCCAACATCTTGGCTTGTCCTTTATCATTTTCTCAATAATTTCAATCATAACTTTATTTGAAGCTTCTGCTTGGCCATTCCTTTGAGCATAGTATGGTGTCGAAGTTAACATTTTGACCTGCATATTGTAGCCGAGTTGTAACACTTCTCCTGCCCGAAACACAAATCCATTATCTGCAACAATTGTTTCTGGTAAACCAAATCGGTAAAAGATGTGTCGCTCCAAAAACTGTATCACAGTGTTGTGAGTTACTGAAACATATTCCTCGGCTTCTACCCGTTTGGTAAAATAATCGATAGTTAAAATAATCCAATAAAGACTCTTTAATGAAGGAGGATTAATCTTGCAGATTAAATCCATAGCCCAACCTCTGAAAGACCATTGCTTAACTAATAACTACATCTCTATAGCTGAAACCCATTGCATTGGGCCATGCTTCTGACAATCTGTACAACCCTTTGCATAGGTCATACAGTCTTTTCTCATTCCAGGCCAATAATATCCATATTGGCATATCAACCATCTCATTTTTATGCCAGCTTGGTGAGCTCCGCACATTTCTTCGTGTACCTCTGCTATAATCTTTAAACCTTTAAACTTGCTGATGCATTGAAATAGCAAACCATCATCAGCCGATCTCCTATAAAGATCGCCATCCATTAGTACATAATCGATTGCATTTCTTTTTATTTTTCGATCGGCTTCAGGAGTTAGATGTTGTAAGAACAAGATATAAGGAATTTGCCAATCATCATTATCTAACTCGACAACATCAGTATCAAAGACTTCTTCCATCACTTGATTTCTTGTTTTAGCCGATGGAAGAGATCAACATGTGATTTTCATTATCCTTTCCTTTATACCACTCGGCACCCTGATTCCTGAGGCAATCTGGGCTAAATCATTAGCTATTTTATTCATGACCCTTAGTCTGTATTCCAAAGTCACATTGTGAAATTGGTTGACCAATTGGGTTGCCAATGAATGAAATAGCCTTAATTTCCAATTTAACATCTAAAGTCTTCTGAGATTTGATTAACTACCAAACTTGAATCTCCCACAATGTGGACACCCTTGACTGCCATCTCCAGTAGAATTTTCAAGCCGAAAATCAATGCTTCATACTCGGCTTGATTATTTGAGCACCTGAAATCTAAAAAGAAAGAAAACGAAATTTGGTTTCCTGATAGGGATATTATTGTTTTACCAGCTCCTGAGCCTTTACTGGTACTCAACCCATCGAACATTAAAGTCCAAAGAGTCATGAATATGGCTGCCTAGTCAAGTTCATCATACACTTATGATTCGATTTCAGGTTAAGGATGATCGGCAAGAAAATCTGCCAATGCTCTCCCCTTAATCGTTTTTTGTGGAACATAGGCAAAATTGAACTCTATTAATGATAGAGCCCATTTGCCGATCCGGCCAGTGATTAATGGCCTTGATAGCATATACTTTATAAGATCTGTTTAATAAATAATATAAACCAACACAGGCAATATATATATTCTTAATTTCATTGCTGCAAAATACCAAGTCAAACATAATTTCTCAATCAGCGTATATCTACACTCGGCTGAGATAGTATATTGCTTGTTCACTTCCTGCCTCGTTCCCTTGTGCCAACATACTTCCAATGGATTCTTCAACATCCGATAAGTATAACTTCATCGGCCACTTCTTCCTTGGTGGCATCATGACAGGAGGACTCAACAAGTATTTCTTGATCTGTTCAAATTTCCTCTGGTGTGTGCTATCCTATTTGAATTCTTCCATCGGCTTCAACTTGAGTAAAGGGGAAAACACATGTAACTTACCAGCTGTATTGGTAATAAATCGTCTGAGATAGCTCACTTGACCAAGTAACCTCTGTAATTTTTTCTTGCTTCTCAGCGCACTGGCATTAATAATTGCCTTAGCTTTATTCCTGTCAATCTCTATGCCCCTTTGGTGTACCAAGAAACCCAAAAAGTTTCCTGCCGATACTCCAAAGGCACACTTTATTGGATTCATTTTCAACTTATGAGCCCTCATTCTCTCAAAAGATGCTTTAAGATGAACCAAGTGTTCTTTTTTCGTTGCTGATTTTACTACCACATCATCAATATATACCTCTATAAACTTGCCGAGCATATCATGTAAAATAGAATTCATAGCTCGCTGATATGTAACACCAGCATTCTTCAATCCAAAAGGCATTACTACCCACTCAAAAGTTCCAATCGATCCTGGACATCTGAAATCTGTCTTTGGGATATCTTCCTCAGCTATATAAATTTGATTATAACCTGAGTGTCCATCCATAAAAGACATGATTTCATGCTTAACAGCCGTAGAAACAATTGAGCCTCTCTTAATTGTTTCTGCAATTCTGCCATCTTTTCTGGTGTCGCATTTGATGAAAGGAACTCACCTGACGTCTTCTCAGCCTCCTACCGATTTTCTCGCTTGGTTAAGCTTATCACATTAGTAGATGTAATAGTAGGGAATGGATTGGTATCCACCTTCATGGTGTCAAAAGTTTTCTCCGGAAATTTTAAAGTACCTTTATCAATAGTTTTCTGCAATACACCTCGTAGAACAGTACAATCATTAGTAACATGATTCCAAGAGTTATGATACTTACAATACCCTTTTCCTTTCAGGTCACTTGATGGAATCTTATGCCCCTTAGGCAAAGATATCATTTTATCGGCCATCAAGTGGTCAAAGATTTGATCTGTTTTTGATAAGTCAAAAGAGTAGATTATCCCGGTATCGGCAACTCCTTTCCTTGCTGCCGGTGTTAATGTTGCATTGCCCCCCATGGTCGGCTTAGGTTTGACCAATGCCTCACAGATGTATGGCTTCTTGATGTTGACCTCAACAACGTCAACTTCTAATTCATCTCCAACTTCTGTAGAGAACACTTCATAATTAGGGTCCTTGTAATAAGTGCCCTTAGAAGAATTCTTCCTTTCTTTCTCTTCTTTAAGTATTTCCTCATACTGAGTGGCTCTGTCTGCTAAATCGAAAAGATCTTGAAATTCAACCCCATCGAACCTTTTGCAATGTTCAATGTCTAAACCATTTAATGCCAATTTGATATATTCTGGTTCTGGCAGACTTACTCGGCATTTGAGTTTAGTTTTTCTGAACCTGGCCATAAAAGTTTCAACTGATTCACTCAGTAACTTAAATAATCGAGATATATTTGTCAGCGTAGCTTTTGTCTCTGTTCAGTAAAACTGGGTATGGAAAGCTCTTTCCATCTCATCCCACGTTCAAATATAGTTGGCTGGTAGATTGTTGTACCACTCAAATGCTGCCTCAGCGAGGGAACTAGAAAATAACCTCATCCTTATCCAAGGATTATGACTTGCTTCTCCACATTGTGCTGTAAACCTTGTAATATGTTGCACTGTAGAAAAGATTTCCTCACCACTATACATAGAAAAATTGGGATACTGATAATTTCTGGGTAACTCATAAGCATCGACATGATTAGGATAAGGCTTCCTATATACTGGCCAAGGACGTCTGCGTCCCTGTGCTACCTCGACTTGAATTAGGGCTAAAATTTGAGCCCTTTCGATCCTCGTATTGTGGCCTAGAGGGTCATTCAGGTGAAATGGAACAAATGGATTAATCCATTCTCATTGTGAATCTGCATTTACCTGCCCCCCGGCAGCCGCTGATGGTATTATTGGATTAACCCTACCTTGGTTTTGATTGCCCACCTCTTGCTAATCTCTTAAAAGAGGAATCAGCTGCATCAGTGGGCGTTGCACATTTTGATTTTGTTGGTGATTTACTGGCGGCTGATACACCGGCACAACAGTTATTGCTGGCGGATCTGATAATATCGGTGGATTACCAATCGACATGTTGAGAGTTTGGTTCGGCACATTACCGATTGTGATGTTGAGTGTTGGATTCAGCATCATGCTGATTGGCATGCTGAGAGTTGGATTTAGTAGCATAAATCCTGTCATCATTGTTCTTGGTTCTTCAAGAATAATCACTTTTGATGAAGAAATATGTTGAACCAATGACTCATGGACATTGAAGCTTCGGCTTGATCAGATTGGCTTTTAACAACCGATAGTTGATTTAATACTGAATCCACTTTCAGACCCATCCCATTTATGCGAGCTCCCAAACGGGCTTAATGGCTTCAAGCATTTGCATAATTAGAACATCCGATAGGAAGGAAGTTCCTGCTATATAAGATCCGGCTTGGCCAGTTGGCTGGACTTCCTCTTCCTCTTCCTTTTTATATTCGTATTCTTTGAATTCTTCTTGGGAGGCATTTCTGTTATAAATAAATAATTCACCTAGTGGGGTCCTACTGGTTGTGCCAAAAATGTTAACACTAAAATTGGCTCCTTAGATCTGATTTGGAAGTGATGTGATACGGGCGTGCCAGAACCAATTATATGGTTCAAGTGTAAATTGCCAACTTCAGTCCCTATGAAAAGGTTGACTTTCAGACGATGTGAGGAAAAAAAGGAATAGTAAAACTCCTCTTTAAGTTCAGAATTGCCTTAATTTAAAGGACTTTTATAATGAATAATTTATAGTAACGTTTTGAGAATAGAAATGGGAGAAAATCTGGATATAGAAATAGATAGAGAAAGAGAAATAGATGGAGAGATTTAGAACGAGATAGAGAGAATAAAAGAGATAGGGATGAGAGAAATAACAAGGATGATATTTTGGGAAAGAGCTTAAGAAAGCAAAACACAATAATAAAATGATTCTGAGGGTGCTTGTGATACCCCTCGATTCTAGAGCCACGGGTGATCAAGTCCGAGCACAGATCCGAGAGATTCCAAACAATTAATATTTAAAACAAACACAGAATACAAAACGAATTAAGAAGAAATAAATAATAACGCTGAAAGAAACTAAAAATAAAATCCTTAAAATATAATTATTAAAATTCGATACTCCAAAACTCCATAAGTTTAATAACTCGGGAATCCATCCGGTAGACCCCTAATAAAATCCCAAACTGAAAACTGAAACAACCGAAATGAAACATAAAACTAAACATAGAGAGTAGTCCTACGTAGTCGGAAGAATGAGTGTCTATATCTGCTCTGCACGTCCAAGATCTAACCCTGGAACTGACGAACACCTGAAAATAAAAGAGAGGGTCAGGCCCACATGCAAGTCCTATCCTACTACGATCTACACAGAAACCCGATACGCAGATACATCCTAGATAGCTCAATAATATCTAATAGTTCGTACATAAGTATATCCACACAATTGGACTCTCACTAGACTATGAAGATGGTCTCAACCTGACTAGAAGGCATCATGCAAAACGCACCTGAGTGGGCATGAGTACCTAAGCCTAACAGGGTATACCT